CAGCTCATCCGATCCTTTTTGGCGCCCCCTTGCGGTGACTAGCGCCTCCCCCCCCCTCAAAAAATGTGCTTTCAAATTAACGAAAAATACATTATTCTTGCGGTTGTCCGAAACACATGGTTTCATTTCCATTTTTCATAATTTCAAGACACCTTTCCCCCAAATTTCCTTGAGTTTTAAGAAGTACAGGGTCAAAAAAAATTCTACCGCCCACTCCCCTTAAAAAAAGACTGACAAAAACGCTCTTTTATTTTTCTATAGATCTTCTATGTCGTTCACGTGCGCGAGAAGGTAGCAGCGGACGAAATTTGGAGCGCAACTGTTATGTTTAGAAAATAGAAGCATATGAAATAAAGTCATGGCTACAGAAAACACCGTGAGCGAAGCGAGTGCGAATTTTTTTGTGATAATGGCGCCCAAATCTTTATGAACTGGTTCTGAAATCTGCACATTTCTGAGACATCCTATCCTTCTAGTCCCCACTAGGATGTGGCTACCGAGCCTTGCGAATAGTGTATTTCGGCTAACGGAGGAAGAAGAACAGCGGGTAGAATTGGCCGAGCGCCTACTCCCACTACCGGCGTGACGTAGAGGCGGGAAGCTCTCGGCCAATCGGTAACGTTGATGTTCTACCCGCTATTCTTCTTCCTCCGTTAATCGAAATACACTATTGGGCGGGGCGCTGTGTGCACATTGTTCGTCTGACTTAACTTACTTTGTATCTTTTTGTATCTCAGGATGGACGCGATCCTATGTGGTGGCAGCCCCCTGAACCAAAGAAAACTGGACTACCGCCGTTTAGGCAGGCATTTCCGAAGTCTACCGAAATGTATATCGACTCGACAAATAATGAGGTGAGTGATCACCCCTTCACGCTCCGTCTCTGTCTGTCTGTCTGTCTGTCTGTCTGTCTGTCTGTCTGTCTGTCTGTCTGTCTGTCTGTCTGTCTCTCTCTCTCTCTCTCTCTCTCTCTCTCTCTCTCTTTTGTGTACATAGTCATTGTTTTGTTAACTATGATAGAATGTGAGCAGAGCAGGTCTGTATTCGAGCGGGACTTAAAGTCCTTTTATATGGACCTCAATAAAATTCATTTCAATTTCAATTTCAATTTCTCTCTCTCACACACACACACACACACACACACATACAGCCACTAATTATTTTTTTTAAATTTTTCCAGGAGTGTTTCGAGCTTGTAATGACAGATCTACAGCCAATGGTTCCTTATCCTTACGGTAACTCCTACAGCGAAGAGTCCCTGGTCGTTCGTGAGAGTTTCCCTGTCGCCGACACTTATTTGACCCCCCCGTTGACGCCGTGCTCGCCTGCTACCACTTCGACAGAGGGGTTCGACCCTCTTGCCGTCCACGAAGCAGACGCTGAGACTGGAGGCCTTGGGTTCGCCGAGTCTACTGCTCAGGTTGACTCTTCTGGGTCGAAGTCCGTGGGTAGCAAGCGCAAGCGATCGACGGGCAACAGCACCACGCCCGCCCAACCCTCTAAAAGGGTGTATCTGGGGAGGAAGTCTAAGGCTTCTCCTCCAGTTCGAGAGTGCGACCTTGATAAACTAAGCAACAAGCCTTTCAAATGCGACCACTGCGACAAGACTTTCAAGACGAAGGAAGATTTGACGCGCCACGCCAGACTACACAACCCAAAGATGAAGAAGCTGTGTCGAGTGTGTGGCGTAAAGCTGTCTGCTCAAAAACAAAACTTGAGCCGACACATGAAGACTGTCCATCATATGGACAACGACTGTCAGGAACTAACGGATGAAGACTTGTTGTTGGGCAAATGTGATTTCACTGATTGCAATTATAAAAATAGTCGGGAGGATAAAGTGAAAAATCATATGAAATCCAAACATCCAAGTGTATTGCCGATTAATTGTAACAGAACCTACGGCAACAGAAATCCCCGACCCTGTAGATTTATTTGTTTCACGTTCGAAAAGCTGAAAGAACACATATTGGCACGGCACAGCGATAGATCAGAGGCATCAGAGGAATGAGCTGGTTCGTCAGCTGCGTTGTCAAAAAAAAAAAAAAAAACTATTGTCTGTTAGTTAAAATGGACTGATTTGATGAGCTGTTATTTTTTAAAATGAACAGTGTTTAAAAATGTTTCTGTATAATTAAGTTTTAATTAGCTTTGTATGTAAATAAGCTTAATAGTTTTACAGTTAGTTTCTTATGTCTTTTCCCAGGTATTTAAGCCACCAATAAAAAATTGTAAAAATTACTGCTGTGTTCCCTCTTGTATACCTACCCTGACCCTGATATAGAAACAAATGATTCATTCAACTGATCACATTCAGCCGCATGAGCCGCACTCTTTGGCTCAATCCAATTTAGTCTATTCACCGAGAAAACACGAAAATGTCACCACGAATAGGTCATCTCCGGTTATTTCAATCAATAATAACAGAGATTCTGCCCAAATTTTGACCTTTCTTTTCTTTTGACCAAATCAGTGCTATTGATGTCAGTATGACGTCTTAGTGTGTTTTTCGTGCTTATTGGGAGGGGGCTTTAGTCTCGACTGCTTTGTGTGATTAGCCAAGACTAGCTTGTGTCATCCTAATGACGCTAAGTAAATACAACTTTAGTACGAAAAAAAAACTGGCCAAGATCCACCCTTTTTTATCGTCCTTCAATTTTCTTTTGCGTATTTGAAGGTAAACGTCGCTCGGACAAATACAAAGTTTGCCACTGGTTGTTAAAAATGTCTCTCGATGTCTGCTATAAATTTCAATCTAACAACAAGTGCCATAGTTTAAACCAACAATCTATTAGCTTTCTGCAGAAAAATTCAGGGCAAGATATGTACGACACATAATTTCTCTGAGGCGGGAAGTAGCGTCCGACGCCAGAGGCTGTTCGCAGGAGTATTGGCGCCATCGGAGCGAGGGTCAGTGCCGCCATCTACCGGAGCCTGGAGCGGGTCGGGGGCCGTCAGGCTACGCCGAGCCGGGCCGGCGGCGCTCCCCTTCGTTTGTCCTCGAGCCCGGATGTCCCTCCCGCCTCAAGGTGAGGCGCCCCTCACGCCAGGACCAGGCCACGCATTTGCATTTCACCAAAGAGAAGGGCGGGGGCGCATGGCGGGGGGCAGGCGAGCGATGCGCGTGCAGCAGCAGCAGCAGCAGCAGCAGCAGCAGCAGCAGCAGCATCGGGCGAGGCTTCTGCTGGCACAGAATAGGAACCGAGCGTGATATGGAAACCGACGTTGTTCAGGGGGAGGTGACTGCTACCCCTGTTGAACGCCGCACTACTGCCCTGGGCGCATAGTGTAGGGGAAAGGCGCTGGGGTGGGGGATGTTGGGTGGGTGTAGGTGGAGCGAAACTGTGCAACAGGAGAAGATGAAGGTAGACGATGGTGGAAATGGAATGGAAAGCGAGACACACGAGGAGATGCAGTTCGAAAGAGTCAGAAAGAGGGAGAGCGAGAGAATGAGAGAGAGAGAGAGAGCGAGAGAGAGAGAGAGAGAGAGAGAGAGAGAGAGAGGCAAAAGAATGAGAAGTGAATAGAGTTGGAAGAGAGTCTGTGTAGTACCTGTACCTTTCTCGGGTCTTCCGTCGTGGCCATGAACCCCTCCCCCACAACCCCTCTCCCTTTCACCCGACCTCCCCTCCTTACTCTCACCGTACGGCGCGGCGAGACGCTGCCTTGCGTTGCGTATTACGCCCCTCCTGCCCCACCCCACACTCCACCTGACCCAGCCGGCTCCGCACCCGCTCGGGACTTTAAGGGTAGCAGCGCACGTCGTAGAGTGAACTGCAAGAAACAAAACTGTAAGTGCAAGGTGCACGATTGTGGGCAAATATGTTTGTGAAATGACGCATGTTCTGTTTAGAATGCAGGCGCTTAATACATTAGTATTTATTGGTAATCATTAGTAATCCTTGGTAATCATTGGTATTCTTTACAATTTGCTAATCCGGTGCACACAGTTTTATGGAGTTGGGCACCCCTCGGAGCCCTCTAACTCCTTCTCGCGCGCGCAACCCCTGCACATCATGTCATGAGCTCGGCCGTGTTTGGTGCCCCCCCCCTTCCCCCTGCCTCTCTCCCTCAAAGTGATGATGTCGGCTTGGTCCGCTGGCATCGTGTGGCTCTCCCTCGCGGCCGTGACAGATGGACGCGAGCCTTCGCGCCCTCCTGGTTGATCCAGAAAGGTCATGTATCGCCTTCTCGCCCTCGGCCGTGGATACCTGCCCGCTGAGAGTCTGGGACGACTGGAAGAGCTGGCACACTGAGAAAAATATTTCTGTCCGGGCACTAAACGTACGTCTAATGCTCCCGACTTTTGTCCCAGATCAAAATGAGATAGTGACCGGCCATTGAGTTTTAGTGCTGTGCTCTAAATTTTCTTTGCCTGGGATGCTACGTTTAGCCCCCAGCGCTAGACGTATAGTGCAACGAAAAAACGTCGATCTGGGGACTAAACGTATAGTGCTGAGACAGATTTTTTTTTTCTCAGTGCAGGCGCATTCTTTTTATTATCATCCTCAACAATTATAACCGGTATTTAGTCCCTGTTTAGCTGGTCGCGCAGAGATCTTGAATTTCATACTGGATTCAGAAGTTCCGCGGGGGAGGGGGTATATCTCGGGGTATATAATTTTTACCTGGTGCCTTTAGTACCCCATCTGACCCTTAATTGCAATGGACCATACCAGGAGCGAGGAGGAAGGTAATCAGGTGGGGCTTCCTCTCCTCCAGCACCTGGGCCTGCGTCTTCCCCTCGGTCTTTTCCCAACCAATCGCCCTCCCACCCCCTCCCCTCCTCTCCACCGCACCCACCTCCGGCCATCGCCGTTCTGGAGCCGCTTCTGAACAATCACCGGCTATTACTACTTGGGGACAGTTTACTCGCAAGTGGCCGGAGTTAAAGTGTCGACGCGTCTGCCCCAGTATTTCTTTGTAGAGAGCCATGCAAAATCTTATATTCCTTTGAGGATGGAGTTATATTGAGATCATCAAGAAATCGCAGCGGTACAAATAAATAAGACCCCAGTTATTGCTGTTTGTTTGGCTCACCTTTGCTCGGCGACAACCCCCTGAACTCTTCCTCCTTTACCCCCCTCCCCCCTCTCTAACTTCTCCTCTCCCTACTCTTCCTCCTCCCTCTTTGGGGCTCGCCTGTCAGACTCGAAGGCTGTCTCTCCCGCACGGTCGTTCTGCCAGTCAACCTCCCGGCTGCTCTAAAATGCACGCTGCCTGGATGTGCGCTGTGCCGCGCCCCGCCCCGCGCCGCCAGGCTAGAGCAGAGGACAGCCCGGGCCCGCGCGCGGCCACGCGCCGGCAGCGGAATACATAACATGACCTAGACCGACCCTTTTTAAAAATAAAAACTCCGAATAGCTCCCTTCTCCACCCCCACCTCCCTTTCTCCGCCACGTCGAGGCCTGGGTGAATGCGACCCGGTTATGATACAAAGGGCCTGTACTGCGAAAAGTTGCCGCGCGCGTGTGCGTCGGTTTCGTGGGCGAGCGAACGGCGCCCGGGAGGTAGGCAGCCCAACGTGCCGGAGCGCCTGCGAGCCGAGGGTTAGGCCTGGTGCCGGACTCGCGCGCAGGGCGGGCCTGCCTGCCCACCCGGCGCTCCGCTGCTCCGCACCAGAGACCACCGCCAGCCCTCTCGGCCAAAGTGAGCTGTTGTGGGGCGTTCTGAGGACGGCGTGCCATACAGAGAGGGGCGTTCGTAGGACCTGCCAGAGGGCGTACCGAGGGGACGGCCACTCAAGCAGGGCGTACCGAGGAGGCCGTGGAGTGTCCGCGCGCCGTCCGGCGCCTCTGCCTGCGGGGAGGGGCAGCGCGGAATGGCCGAGGGGTGTTTGGATTCCTCGCACGCACTTCGCATTCCTCGTGGCGGACGCGTCGGATTGGCTGAGCGTCCGGGCCTTTCACCCTCCTCCCCCCTCCCCGCGCCGGGCCTGATGGTCCTGCTCGGGGATGCTCGACGACTGGAAAACAAGTTTCTCTGATGAAAGAAAAATTCTTCGGGTTTGTGTGCGAAACGGCTGCAATAATTTCAGCGACTAACACTACCGACACCAACACTCGCAACTTTGATTTTTCTTCTACCGGTACACTCTATATAAAATGTCAATGCATCACACTTTTAGATTCAAAACTTCTATATTTCTTTTTACCGTATGAATAAGTGTGTGGGAGGAGGAGGCATTTTTCTCCTCTCCATTCCGCGGCCGGCATGATGCCACTGTCCCCGCATCACAAACAGTTTCACGCACGGCGAGCCCCGATGGAATAAACATTCAGATGAGTGTTGCGCGCGGGCGCGCTCAAAACACACCCCTCAACTCTCAACTTGAATTTTTCCCGCGTCGCGCGCGCTCCGCATGCGCCGCGGGGACAGTGAGTTATTGTGAGTGGCTTAGTATGTGTGTGTGGGTGTGCGCGGTGTTGGTTGTTGTTGTTGTTGTTGTTGTTGTTGTTGTTGTTGTTGTTGTTGTTGTTGTTGTTGTTGTTGTTGTTGTTGTAGATGTTGTTGATGTTTTTGATGTTGTTGTTGATGGTGGTGGTGGTTGTGGTTGGAGAGGAGGGGGTTGGGCTTGGCATAGCGTCCCCGTGTAGTCGAGTGCCACTCGGAGGGCGCTTCAGCCGCGCGTCGTGTTGGATGTGTACTATGGCGGCGTTTGAGTTCAAACGAGCGCCTCTTCCACCACACGTGCTAGTCTCTGTTCTCTTCTGACCTGCTCTGTCTCTCTCCCCACCCCACACCCCCTCTCTCTCTGTCTCTCTCGTCTGCTTGCTCGTCTTCTCCGGGCCGCCTCGAGACTGACCCTACTACTACTCTGGCCTGAGTGAGTTCGGGAGTGGCGTGCCCGGTTGTGGCGCGGCGTGACGGGGCGTGGCGGGGCGTGGTGGGGCGTGGTGGGGCGTGGTGGGGCGGGGT